CTTCTATAAGTATGATATTTCTATAAGGGTATCGAATGTTGCATTGTTTCAATATCTATCAACAAATTATCCAATAAACAACAAGTAAAAATTATATAACTATTATTTGGTGTTTGCTAGGTATGTTATAATATACTGTGAACACTATAAGGATACATTATATAAGCATGAATTGTAAGAACATCGTTGGAGTCATCAGAGTCACCGCGTGCGCGCTCGATCCGTCACGTTAAGCAACAGTTTAGTGCAGTCAGGAGATGGATGGGGGTGACCGGTGTTTTTCTACCGCTTGGGATCGAAATTATCGCAGGAGGATTCATGAAAGTTTGGAATGTGTTGACAACCTTCGATATCTAGTAGTTTATGAGACATGAGAAAATTAGGAATATAAGTATATTTCTGTAAACATTTTGATTTTCTTATTTTTCACCTTCGCATAATAATTCTCAGTATTTGATTACTATCAATATTTAACAGTGATTTTATTATCAGTATTCACCATAAATTAAGTACTGGCTAAAAAATTATTGAATTACTGGTAATATTTAATCACTAATAATTTTTCAGTATTTCTTAGTATGATATTTCTATAAGGGTTATCACTGATCCACTACATTACATCAATATTCACCACATATCGAATGTTATTGCATTGTTCCAATATCTATCAGCAAATTATCCAACAAACACTAAGTAAAAATTATATAACTATTATTTGGTGTTTGCTAGGTATGTTATAATATACTATGAACACTATAAGCATAAATCGTAATACTGTTGGAGTCATCGGGAATCGTCGCGTGCCGCTCAATCGTCAGATTAGGCAACACTTTTAACGGAGTCAGGACTGGAGGGTGACCGCTTGAGATCGAAATTATCGCGGGAGGATTCACGAAAGTTTGGAGTGTTGTTGACAATCTTCGATACCTAGTGGCTTATGAGACATGAGAAAATTAGGGAAAAAAAGTATATTTTTTTAAATATTGTATCTTTCACAACATTACAATTCGGTTTTGATGACCGAATATACCCCGATAGCCAAGCCTGCTAAAGTCAGGCTTTGCTAAATATATGCTGCATGCTATGCTGGCATAATTTTGGCAGTATCAAAGCATGATCTGTCGTATCAGAGAGTACATGTAGAAATGAAACAGAAATCTAACAGAATCTACGCCATGATATCATAATAGAAATATTGCAAGCATAAGATACAATATGTCAACATAGGAAAAGAAAAATTTAAACATTGAATGCTTATATAATATGATGATTAGAAGCATAAAATCGAACATGGAATAACGTCACATTATGTGAGCAGGAAGTCGTTAAAAATGAAGTTAACTAGGTGGCATTCTGAGAAGACAGAAACGCAGCAGAAATTGATCATGACATGCTATTTGAACGTGATAGTAGAAACACAGCAGAAATCGATCACGACGTGCCGTTCGAACGTAACAACAGAAACGCAACAGAAATTGATTATGACGTGCGTCCGAAAGCAACGGTAGGTACGAAGCAGAAATGCAGCACAAAATTTAAATTTTTTTGCGGTATTCCCTCAACGACCGACTTAATTATTAATTAATGAATTTAAGGAAGGTACTACAAAGATATACAATACATTTTTTAAATAATATTCCTGACAAACTCAAAGTAATAATAATAAAACTGTTAGTTATAATTTATAAATAACTGTTAGTTATAATATTAGATAAATTAGATAATAAAATTATGATAAAATTGTACAACAAATATAACATATATGTTATATTATAATGTAATATTAGATAAATTAGATAATAAAATTATGATAAAATTGTACAGCATATAAAATGATTTGTATAACATTTATATATACATAATAAATTTCCCAAAACAACTCAGCAAATACAAAATAACAGTAACATAATTGTACGTTATAATTTCTCTCTCAACCATGTAACTGTTTACACGGTCGAGTGGAAAATTATAACTAACAGTTTTATTATTATTACTTTGAGCTTGCCAGGAATTTATTCAACAAATTTATTGTATATCTTTGTAGTACCTTCCTTAAATTCATTAATTAATAATTAAGGCAATCGTTGAGGGAATACTGCAAAAAAATTTTTATTTTGTGCTGCACCCTGATGGAAAAAATTTGCTGAAAATGCAATGAAATCGTTGAAAATACAATGAAATTATCGAAATGAGAAATGTGAAGTTATTGAAAAGTTGCTGAAAATATTTCACCATGAATCATGATTTTCATTATAAATTGTAGTGAAAAGTGTGAAAAAACAATGAATTTTTAATGAATATTGATGAAAAGTAATAAAAAAATATTGAAATATTTAATGAAATATTTAATGAAATTTACTGAACTGTAATGAAAACTGAGTAAATTGTATTGAAACTTTGCTGAAATATTGATGAAGAAAATTCGTAAAAATATTTCTCAATAATTTTGAAAATTTTGCTGAATTGATGAAAGAATTACAATTTATAATGAATTGTAAATAAGTACATAATGTACCTCATTTATTGATCAATGAAAAACTTCGTGAAAAGTTTTGACTAAATAACGAAATCGTGCTGAATTTCGCTGATAATTGATGATAATTGACTAATGTATTAAAATGTAATTTTTTTATTTTTTTACATGTTAGAATATGAAAATTTTCTCATTGAAATATCGATGAAAATTACTGAAATATATCGAAATTTAATGAAATCATATGGAAATCTGATTCCTTCATTATGATTCAAGATTAATTCATACGATTGTTAATTTGTATGTAACATTGCATTTAGAGCAATCGTTAATTAGCATGTAATATTCGTTTATAGATTAAAAAATATATGAAATTTAATATTATTTATAAAGACAGTCTATTTAATTAGATGTATATATATGTGTCTTTAAAAAAATTATTACAAATTTAAAGAAATACCATACTTATTGTAGTGAAAATGTCCATATTTATTATAATACAATTACATGAGACACATAAACATAAATATATATGTATATAAATATAAATTTTTGCCTTTCATCTCCCAAATATTCGTATGGACCAGTGCTAACACAACAATGATAAACATGCTAAATAATACTTATATAGCACAAAACATTGAAAGAACGTTGATGAGATGTTGATGCAACATTAAAGATAGAAGTGCGGATGTTTTTCTGCATGAAATTTATGTTGATTTTTCAACATTGATAACCAGTTGCAATATTGAATATATATTGAACAAAAACTACAATATTTTGCAATATTCTAACTATATTTGAGGAATAATGAAAATTATATTATTGATATACAAAAATAATAATAATAATAAAATAAATTATTATTAAATTTTATTATATTAATACATATGTATTATTTATATTATATTACAATATACCATAATCATATATATTTTTCCTTATATATTGTTTATATATAAAATTGAAATGCGTTTGAGCAATTTTGCGCAAACCATGAAGAATATTCTTTTATTTCAAAATATGCTGTATTATACAGAGTCTGATGCAAGCTGTATCGATAACAAAAAATGCATAAAAAACATTAAACTGAAAAGAATGGTCGAAATCATTTTGCAAATAACCACATAAACTTTAGAGATATTAAATAAAATATATTGGCGAATCAACGCGCATATTTGCTAGATACGTTATAATACTGTAAACGTATTATACTGTAAACATGCTATAAGTATACATTATATAAACATAAACTGTAAGAACATCGTTGGAGTCATTGACATCACCGCGTGCCGCGCGATTATCAGGTTAGGCACACCTTTAACAAAAGGAGACATGGATGGATGACCGGGTATAACCACTTCGGATTCGTAATTATCGAGGGAGATCGTGAAAATTTTAGAGTGTGTTTGACAATCTTCGGTTCCTAGCAGTTATATGAGACATGAAAAAAATTGATTCAACATTACTGTGCTGTATGGGACATTTTTCTTGATTTTAAATTTCAATAATTTTCTACTGAATTTTATTGAAACTTATTGAAATTCACTGAAAATTCACTGATTTTCGATAAATATTGCTGAAATTATAATGAACGTCAATTGATCGAGTTTTTCAGCAAAATTTCAGCACATTTCATTACGTTTTCAGCAAGTTTTATTATAATTTTTCCATCAGGGCATTTCTGCCTCGTACCGTTGCTTTCGGACGCACGTCATGATCAATTTCTGTTGCGTTTCTGCTGTTACGTTCGAGCGGCACGTCGTGATCGATTTCTGCTGCGTTTCGGTCCTCATGTTCGAAAGCACGTCATGATCGATTTCTGCCGTATTTCTGTTGTTAGTACATGATGTAGCACGTTGTGTGATATATCTTCTATATTTCTATTGTCATACCGTGACAGCAAATCGTGTTCTTTTTCTATGTCGCGTCATTGATATAGAAATCAGACTATGCGGAGAAGATAACATATTTTTGCAATTATATTATTAGGGAAAATAATGATATATTTCTGTTACATTTCTGCCGGCACACTTTATCGGCAACACGTTGCAGAGAAAATTAAGCTTAATGAGGACAGTTGCTTGGAATCTGCTGCATAACCATTCAATCTGCCGGCATACCTTATAGAAATATCATACTAAGAATCATTGATAATTACTTATTTTCAGTATTAAAAATACTGGATAATAAGTAATTATCAATGATTCTTAGTATGATATTTCTATAAGGGTGCCAACATGCTGCCAGCATTTTGCTGGATATGTTTGGCACAACAGAAACTTTCCAATAGAATTTATTTTTTGTAGCAACCGATTTTTCAGTTGATTCCTGAGGAACCGAAAATTTCGGTCGTCGTAACTGAAATTTGGTAATGCCAAGCGAATCATTTTTTGCGTGAACATTACCCAATGTATACGACGCAGAGGTTGTCCAGTCTTACCTCTTTCATACTTTGCGTGCTTACGAAATGTTTTGGTTAACTTTTATCTACGACTATGGCATTGCCAAGCAGCAGAAGGAGGTCAATTTGAACATCTCATCAAGTAAATCACAAAACTATTACACATACACACGCACGCAAGCACACACGTATACACGAATACACGCACACACGTGAGAAGCAAAGGGACTCACGTAAATCAAGCACCCCAAACGTGAAAGCCTCGTCACGTCCACGTCGTTCATCCTAGATAATGCTAAGCACGGGTAAATGTCGGTGATATTGTAAATTTTAAGCCTTATCACTCGTAAAGTGCTTAAAGAAAAATAACTTTATTATAGTTTTGAAAGGCTCTCGAGGTAAGCTACAAGAATATGTAATGGGGATTTATGTAATGTAATGGGGATTTTCATTTAAAAAAATCGACGTGATCTTGACCTGACTTTGACGACGTCACTCAAGGTAAAAATTGATACGGCCATTAAATAGATATTCTGAAACCCTATAACTTTTGTCTGAAACATTTTCCTAAAAAATACTTTTTTTCGAGATTTAACAATTTTGGCACACCCTGTAACATACGTATAATATACAGGGTGTTCGAAAAGTGTGGGAACTCCTCAATATTTCGGAAACTAAGTCAATTATCTGTCACGTCGTTGATCCTGAGTTAATTAGCTAAGAACAGATAACGAAAATATGCGCACACTTAAAATGAAGAGTGCAGATAGCTGGGGGAAGGGTTGCATAACCTCTCATTAAAAAGATCTTTCCGAGACTTTTCAAACAAGCCATTATTTGACCCCTTATGTCATTTAAGATTTTTGAACTATACTTTACTCCTGTGTCCCCGGGGATGGGGGGATGTTTTCTCTTATGTCCCTCATGTCAAAAGATAGCCCTTTTGATGCAATAAATATCCTCCAAATTTCATTTAATTATCTCTACCCATTCAAAAGTTATTTAGGGATCCCGGTACTTTCCAAACACCCTGTACAAAAAAAGTGTAAATCCGACCGGACAACCTTCATGCGTTACACCTTGAGCAATGTTAATACCGGCGGTACTGTAACTCAAGCTTCATAACTGGAAAAGTACTTAACGAAAGTAAACTTTATCATAATGTTTTGAAAAGCTCTTGACACCAGCTATTAGATTCTGGAATAAAAAATAGGATGTTCCATTTAAAAAAATCAATTTGATCTTGAACTCACTTTGGGAACGCCACCCAAAGTCAAACTTACAACTTTTGTCTGAAAAATATTTTTTTCTAAAATACTTAGTTTCCGAAATATTGAAGGGTTCCGACACTTTTCGAACCTTGTATAGCATATGTACAATACAGTAATATGCATAATAATTTTTTATAGTTATTTAATTATGGTTGCGTTAATATATTATTACTTAACTATAGTTGCATTCTGAAGTTAAAATATCTTCGTTAATATAATAATCATTTATAAATTTATAATTAGTCACATATAAATGACGTTTTTTATTGCAATTATTTAATGTATTTTCCCGAAATGCGATATATTTCAATTAGTTTTCTTACCTGCTTTGTATAAGTTACTGCCGTTTCCTGGGTAAAAGAAGAGACCTGGTTCAACTCTTTGTGAACAAGACATTACGTCTACTTTCTGTGACGGTTCTACGACCTGTCCGTTTACCATGAAGTTTCCTAGGCAGCCGTTGAACGTTTTATTGAGGCCCTGAAAACGATATGATACGCTCGTCACACTTTCGCAATACTTTTTAGACATTTTTCGAAGAGAAAATCGATGAACTGGTTCTCACAATATTCATGTGTGCGGTGCCGGACATTTGTGGCAAAACTCCGCCAACGAAGAATGGCGGATTCACGTCGATAGTAGTAGAATTTCCTTCAGAATATCCCTCAACTTCGTCTTCATCCACTATTAATTGACCGTATTTACCATCCCTCGTGAAGGTTACCACGTGCCATTGATTGTCATTAATTTTTTTGTCGTTCGCCAGCGACATCATTCCGCTTCCACAATCGAATTTGTAGTGAACCTTCGAGTGTGCCACCAAGCGTTATTTTTCAAGTTCAAAGTGACAGAATGAGCAGGACAAGTTTAAGCAAGTGAAACATTCCTTACCTTTCCACCAAGCACGTACACGGCAACAAAGTCTGGGTCATCCTGTTGGTTGAGATTGGAGCTATAGAATATAATTCCTTCGTCAACCATTGTCTTTATGTTGATCCGGAAGTTGTAACTATTCTTGAATCTTTCGTTTAACGTTTTATATTGCAATCTGCTATTCCTGAAAATACCTGAAGAACAAAAAAATTATTAATTATTATCTGCAAAATTTTATGATATCATAAACTCAAATTTGATGGATTAAATGTACCTAGATAAACAGAGATACTGAACGTAGCACGCAAACATTTAATACACGCTTTGTGATGCTATTGCACCCTTATAGAAATATCATACTAAGAATCATTGATAATTACTTATTTTCAGTATTAAAAATACTGGATAATAAGTAATTATCAATGATTCTTAGTATGATATTTCTATAAGGACAACACGACACATATTTAAAATATACGAGGGCTGCTCCGTAAGTTTTGCGACTTGGCAACACTGGCGTTGCTAGGTAAATCTAACCTTACCATCAAAAAGTTTGACAGTTTGGAAGATTTTTTTACTTGAAACGTTTTGTCGTATGGAGGCTACTTGTATTGTTTACAGTGACTTGAAAATTATGTCTCAGCGAAAAAATGGAATTAACACGAGAACACTTTCGTGCGATGATTTTTTACGACTTTCGACGTGGATTATCGAGACAAGAGTGCATCAATCAACTTGCTTCCACTTTTGGCAATGAAGCACCACACAAGGCCACTATTTGTTGCTGGTTTAATGAATTCAATCGTGGTCGTAGTTCGCTCACCGACGAACTTCGCGAAGGTCGTCCAAAATCAGCTGCTGCGCCAGAAAACATCGATGCTGTGCGTGAATTGATAATGCAAGATCGACATGTGACATACTGTGAGATTCAGGCATCCCTGGGTGTTGGTATGAATTGCATACAAACGATATTGCATGAACATTTGGTCGTAAAAAAAATTTGTTCACGTTGGATCCCGCATAATTTGACAATTGCTCAAAAAAAGGATTGTGTAAATTGATGCAAAAAAATGCTGAAGAAATTCGATCGAGATGCGTCAAATGCCATATATAACCTCTACACAGGTGACGAGTCATGGATCTATGCATATGAGCCGGAAACTAAACAGCAGTCGACTGTGTGGGTCTTTCAAAGTGAACCTAACCCAACAAAAGTTGTTCGCGCTCAAAGCACTTCGAAACAAATGGTCGCCTGTTTTTTCGGAAAAACTGGTCATGTGGCAACAGTACCCTTAGAGAAACGTAGAACGGTCAATTCTGAGTGGTACACAACCATTTTTTTGCCAGAAGTCTTCGGCCAAATAAGGAAAAACAACTCAAGACGACGAATCATTCTTCACCATGACAATGCGAGCTCTCACACATCGGCTCAAACAACCGCCTATTTGACCAGTGAAAACATCGAATTAATGGGTCATCCACCGTATAGTCCTGATTTGGCACCCAATGACTTCTTTTTGTTCCCGAACATCAAGAATAAACTGCGTGGTCAACGATTTTCGACGCCAAAAGAAGCGGTTGATGCGTTTAAAATACATGTTTTGGAGGTACCACTTTCGGAGTGGCATGGATGCTATAATAAATGGTTTGAGCGAATGCAGAAGTGTATTGATCATCATGGAGAATACTTTGAAAAACAATAAAGCTATTTTCAATGACAAATTACCGTGTTTTCCTTACTAGTCGCAAAACTTACAGAGCAGCCCTCGTATATAGAGTACCCCAGAATCTTTTCCATATTTTTTGTGGGAACGTAGAACAAATTGAGATGAACATAAATGTAAAATTGTTTTGCGATAATAGTCGAAATATTAATTAAAGAAGATTGTTGAATGATTACGCGCGATATAGTGGATGAGCTGTAGTCATTCCCTGCTTTTGATGTCACAAATTCGACATGGACGGTATAAGGAGCTTTAATGAGAGAAAATTGTTATATGATTGTGCGCGATAATGCACAAATATTCTTTAATTAATATCTAAAAATTTATGTAGTCATTTGTAAAATGGTAGAGAACTTTTGTTCAGTTTGATTAATGCAGAGCTCGGAATTAGTTGTCCATTTCGACTGATTCTCGGGAGCTACGCCTTCTATCTTCCCCTTGCGGCGAGCGGGCCACGCAAGTGACGGTCACGGCTCTAAGCTTGAAGCCGCGAATGGTACTGTCACTTGCGTGGCCCGCTCATGGCAAGGGAAAGACAGAAGACGTAGCTTCCGAGAATCGACTGAAATAGGCAACTAATTCCGAGCTCTGATCTAATGTATAAGTATACAACGGCAGACGGCCCCACTACAGCTCATCTATCATATCGCGCGTAATCATTCATCAATCTTCTTTAATTTTGCGGAAGGCGCGCCTTTAACATACTTACAGGCGGACGTGTGCACTCAGCACTCAGTGTTATACTTTTAAAATAAACATATCAATGAGTTTAAATAAGATAAGGTCGTGTTACAATATTGGTGATGATACAATAAGTGTGATGAATAAGTTAAAATTATTTTTAAGAATAAAAACAACTTAATTTTTTTATTTAGACTCACAGATGCAAAACTATAACGTTACCTGTTTGATAACTCATAAATCAAATAAACAAAAACTGCAGCATTCAATGTTGCTACGCGCCCGCCGGAAGATTAATTAATATCTCGAGATTTATTGCGAATATCACAAAACGATATAGGATGATATAGAACTTTTATGTACACTTCAATCTATTCTACGTTCCTACCAAAATTACGCAGAAGAATTTGGGACCCTGTATATTATTTTAAGACATATTTAAGACACTCTTATTACACTATAATTTTAAACAAAATGTTTAATTCTTATTACTACAATAATTCCGAATTAATTACGTTCTTTTCTCGTCAAAATAAGCAATATTTTCATGATATCAAAATATTGCCAATTTTTATAGCATTATATGACTGCTTTTATATACTTATAACATTCTTTATTAGAATGCATCTTCGCGTACTTATGCCATTTTCAACTTTCAATTCAGTCACCAAACGGACAATATGCCAAAATATATTTATCTGAATAATATTTCCATTTAAAGAGAGCTTTAATCTTCTTTTATCTATAAGTTTATGCAAATATATACCGAATCGCCAAACCGCACTCTCCAGATCAGGATCCGCAGCTGGATAGTATGGCAAGTGACATTCGTCATCCATTTGAATATTAGGCTCGGTTGGCATCTGCGTGGTAGACGTGGTAATTGAATCAACTTTTTCAACGTTAGTTCGGCCTTCCAGGTAAGGTTCTTCTTCATCGTCATCTTTCTCTATGTCGATATCTACTATGCCTATGAAGAAATTATTTATTCGTGATAAAATATAAATATTTTAAAAAGTTGATCCGGATATATATTTTGTCTTATATATCTATCCTTGTTCTTACTGATCTGAGTCGATAACTCTACTGGTTCTTCCGTTGGTAGTAACCAACCTTCCGTTGGTAGTAACCAACCTTCCGTTGGAAGTTCAGATTCAACGATTGGTGGCAGAGCTAAATCAGGAGAAATTAAAACGATGAAATATAACTGATAAGTAACTCAGCGAATAAAAATAATCCGTATTATAACGTACGTATCTGATCTCCATCTTTGCATTTCCCCAGGAATGCATGCGGCCTCTCAGTTGAATTGGCGAAATTGATAATGATCTCGCCGTTCAAGGTTGCGTCGCCGATACAACCAACGAAAGGCACAGTTTTGCCGTCAAAATCCAATCTTAATGGCAATCCGCCGATGTACAAATTGCCATGGAGGAAGTGCAGAAGTGGTGGTGGCAAATCCGATTTGTAGCTCATCGTGTCATCGATATCGAGGCTAAGGCCAAATTGATCTTGAGTGACCATTACGACGTGCCAGTCATTATTGTTGAATTTGACATCCGATGGGCTAGTCCATAATTCCACGCCTTGGCTAGTGAACATTAGACGACCATTTATTAGCGAAAGGTAACCAGTATTCGTACTTTTGTCGTCATCGATCGCATAGAAGATCAATCCATCGTTGGCTGATGTCTTGAATTTTAGGTTTACTTGCAAGCCATCTGACTTAAATGTGTGCCATCTTACGTAGCCGGGCGTGTTCTTTTCGAAGGAAACAAGGCTGGCGAACTACAAAATATTGAAAAATAGAAATCACAAAATCAAACGGTATAACACAAATATACACACAATTATTTGCTTGTTTTCCGGGTTTAGACCACGTTTTCCTTGTGTTTGATTCTAAAGTTTCAGATGCTCTTCCCTGAAGAAGTAAATTGAAATGTTCACGACACGTCGTGAACCGAAATACAACCAAATACAAGGCAGATACGGATTAAATCCGGAACACAAACGAAATATTAAACTATATCGTGAAAAGTTAAAATACTACATACACACACACACAATTATAGTAATATACATTATAATAATATTTTTTAAATTATATATTGTATTATAATATATAATATTTCTTAAATTTTATTCTTCAAGCAGTATATTCCAACAAACACAATAAACAGTTATAATATAAATTATTGCCGTAATATAATAGAATATAATATAGCATATAGTAATATAGCATATATGTTACATGTAACGTTAGTTATTATTTCCCACTTGAACGATATTACAATTATATAACAGAAATATTACTAAAATGGATAAAGAAAAACAGGCGCCACCTCCGATCAGCCTGATCTTGACATATGTTGTTAACGACATGGCCGTGAGTAACAATCAAAAGGTTTTAGCCATCGCTCGTTGTTCGTTAAAAAGTTATTAACAAAAAAAGTTGCATCAAATGAATGTAATTTTTGAACAACGTATATACAAAAACATCGAATTTGTATGCTAAGAAGATGCCTGCTACACACACACACTGCTCGCCAGCAAGCGCGCTCGCCCGCCCACCCGGGTGGGCTCCTACTATATTTGAAGTTTTATAAATAGAAAATAATAAAAATAAAAAAAGTGCCTGTCCCTAGCCGTGTAACTGGGGGGCTACGCCCCCCAGACCCTCCGCACTGCGGTCAAGTCTTTTGTGAGAAATTCTCACTCTTTAGCTTAAGTGTAACAGGCTCCCCCCCCCCCCCC